CTGATTTTGTAAAGAACAGTCGTTGGACCCGCTGTGGCTTCAGTGCTGCACCTCAGCCATGCAGATCACATGACCCATGGTGCAGATGTTGTTGTTTTGGGTGGTTTTCATGACATCTGTAGTAGGATGACATCCAGACAAAACAAGTTAAATGGGAAGCATTTGAGACGATCAAACAGGAGGACGAATGGGGGAATAATTCTCCTGTTTTTGTTGTTTCATTCAGTTCTTTGGTTTGAACTCTGCAGGAGGATGAAGCTCATTATCTGTGTAGCTGTGGTAGGGAACATTACAGCAGATTACGGTGGAGCTTTATCTGTGGTTTCAAGGCTAACATGAGTCAGTGTTTGCAGCCTTGTAGCTATGAACGTCCTGAGGACGCTGAAAATCAGATTTTGTTGAAGTAAAGTCGCCCGGTGGTCTCATGATTAAGATTAATCGTAGCAGCTGGACTTGCTTGAGTTCCTTGAAGACGTTTCAATCGGGGGTTTGTTGCTCCTGAAACCGAAACTCAGGTGTTAATGACTCCGTCTAGTCAGTCAGAGCTGATGAAGCCTCTTGGATGAGAGGTGGAACGTCTTCAAGGAACTCAAACAAGTCCAGTTGCTACGATTACTCTACCAGAATAACCATGAGCTGTATGACTGAGAATCTTCACAGACATGTCTCATGGTGAAGGTTTATACCACATGACTGCAGCACTTTAACGTCCCCTGAAGCCTTCATGTCCCTGGACAGCAGAGTTTAAAACCTACAGCGATAGATTTGGGATGTTCTGGTGTCTTCAGTGCTGTCAGTCCAGTTTACTTCCACTGCTGCTCTCCATCTCCTCTCACTGCTCTTGATACAGTTTACCTTTGACTTTCTGCTGCACACTGTGTGCTCGCTGCTTTAGTCTGCATTGGGTCACACTTTATTTTTATCTCCAAGCCCTTTGCAGGGAACCCCGCCTGAAATGACTGTGTTAGTGATAATTAAAGGCGTGTAGAGACGCTAATCTGAGACAGGCGTACATGTGGCGAACACTCGTTAAGTTTACAAGAAGCAGACGTGATCCGGTGACGCCGGTGCTGAGCTCGGTGGAGTTTCATGTTCAGCCGTTGATTCTAAGAGGAGCCATCGACCCACGTTCATGTCCGTTCATTAGTGGAAACTAACTTATATTTACTCCTCTCTGCTTTTCATAAGCGTCTGTAATGTCCAACTTTCTGTCTTCACTGACACAGCTTTGACACGGAGGCTGTTGTCATAGCGACGGCATCACGTCTTTTGTCTGTATTTAACTTTAACTTGTCAGTTTCCGTCATGACAGTAAAATCGGACACCGTCTCTGTTGCCTGTCATCCGTTTGAAGTTGTATCAGTTGCCGGCAGAGTCTGCATGCTGGTCCGAGGTCGGTTCAGGAGCCCGTATCTGCTGGGACTGTAAAGGAAGCTGCTGCTGTGTTGAAGATCAGACTTCAATCAGACGGTCTGGATCTGTGCCACATGAAGCCGGCAGCTCCTGATTTATCTGTGGACCAAGTAAATGTCAAGTAGATTTAGAGAGGCTCCACCCAACGTTCAGTCCTTCAACACAAGAATAAAAACATGTCCGAGTGGGGCAGCCTGAAGTCCTGTCAGCATCGCCTCGAAGCTGCAGAGCTCAGTACAGACAGCATTGGAAATCTTAGTCTGCAGTAAATAACAGAAACTACTGTGGGATGGGGAAGCTGTGGACCAAGTCTAAATCTATTCTCGTGAATTTATCAGAGATTGGTCATGGGTCCGGACAGAACCGTCACTCTGTCCGGATCCGGAACGAATTCCGCCATTTGGTGATGCCTGTTTTTAAGTATATCGGAGTAAAAGAGTTTATACTTTTATAATTGGCCACATAGAGGCGCTGTTGCTACCAGTTTGGAATATGTGAAGTATTTTAGCATGGAGCAACTTATCTTATTATGTGATGAATTCCATCACAGAGTGAATCTGCTGATACATCACCTGCTCATGTGTTGTTGAGCTCTGATGTTCTAAAGATAAAACACGAATGTTCACCACGTTTCTACTGTTTAAGACGCCGTCGTCTTCTGTCAGCAGGAGGCGCAGTGACAAGCCGCAAACATGGACACCACTACGTCCATCAAGATGACCACTCTGGCCATCCAGAAACTGTTCAGCCATGTGGAGGAGGAAAACCTGGCCGCTCTCAAAGCTCACCTGGACCGATTCAAGGAGGTGGACGGACGCAGCGACGTACGTAAATCACAACATCACACTGACGTTTAAAAAACAACAACAAGATGTTTCCATTTTGTCTGTCAGCAGTGGGTTCAGTTCAGAAGTCCATCTGGGTTTTGGTCGTTTTTATTTGACTCCCTTCTTCTCATTTATATGAATAAAATCAAAAGATCTACTCATGTCATCAAAGAAAACCAGGAACAACTGAGTCTGTCCAACACTTTGTTTTATATTTTTTTTATTATTTTTATTATTAATTTTTAATATTTTTCAAAGCTGTTGAGTATTTTTTCAACTGCTCCAGACAGTTAGAATATTTTCCCATATTTATTTTCCTTCATGTTTATTTCATTCCTCCTTTTTTTTCTTTGTCTAATTTTAATTTTTATTATCTTTATCGTAGTCAATGTATTTTTAAAATCTTTTTATTTCACATTTTATCTCACATTTACAAAAAGTTCTTGAAGTCAAATAATCCAAAAATCGTATTATTTAATGACATTCTCAATGTTTTGGGGTAAATTCTGCACAGATTCTGGGGTTTTGTTATTTTTATTTTTTAGTTACTTTTTCTCAGTATATATTCTTTCATTTCGTTTGTTGCTTTTTGTTAAGGAAACATCCGTCTTTTCTGTGTTTGTTTTCTCCATTTGTTGCATTTTTTTTGTTTGTATTTGTGTCTTTGTTCCATTTGTTTACGTGTTGTTTTTGCTGTGTTTACACATAGAACGGTCAGACTCCTTTGATGCTGGCAGCGGAGCAGGGCAGTCTGGAGATCGTCCAGGAGCTCATCAGGAGGGGAGCCAACGTAAACCTGGACGATGTGGTGAGCAGAACAAACGCACTCTCACGTTGTGCGCTCAGGTTTGCTTCTGTTGCAGCTGATGGGGCTGTTTTCTTCTGATTCTCACCCCTCTGGTGGAACAATTAAAGCTCCTTTCACTTTCCCCCCTGCCCTCCCCTTTTGGATGCTGTGGTTGCTAGGAGACGGGTAGGATGGACCGCTCCTGTTTCCGTGGTAACATGCTGTCTCCATGTGTTGTCAGGACTGCTGGTCGGCTCTGATCTCTGCAGCTAAAGAGGGTCACGTGGACGTGGTGAAGGAGCTGCTGGAGAACAGCGCCTACATCGAGCACAGAGACATGGTGGGAACAGCAAAGGCTCATGGGAAATGTAGTAGGGACTGTTCAGATAACACACATCACACAGACATGAGCTGCACAGCATGATTTACATGAACACAGACGGCTTCACAGAGGTACAGCACTAAAACGACATTCAGAAACAAATGCAGAGCCAAATGAGTTCAAATGGATAAAAAAATAGATTATTTAAAGTCATTATTTAACTCTCGTGGTGTAAATGTAATGACAGCGGTTGTGTTTGTGTCTCAGGGAGGCTGGACAGCTCTGATGTGGGCGGCTTACAAAGGTCGTGTAGAGGTCACCCAGCTGCTGCTGGAGCATGGAGCAAACCCCAACACTACAGGACAGGTAACGCGCACACACACACACACACACACACACACACACTGCACATGTGTCACTGTACATACGCTGATGTGTTCAAATCATTCCACTGAGGGCTCTTCTTCCTCCTCTCATCTCTCTGATAGCAATACAGCGTTTATCCCATCATCTGGGCCGCGGGTCGAGGGCACTCCGACATCGTCAAGCTGCTGCTGCACAACGGAGCCAAAGTCAACTGTTCTGACAAGGTGACGAGCCGAGAGCCTGAAAAACAACACAAAATAACACAAAGCAGCACAAAACAACATGAAATGACAACAAACAGGACAATATGACACAAAAAAGGCAGAAAACGGAACACAATGTGACACAAACCACAACACAGAACAATACACAATAGCACACAACAGAAAACACAAGATGACTCAAAATGTCACAAACGGTGACACAATCCCGAACAGAAACTCTCTGAGTGAAACCGAACATGAAAGGAAACAACGCAGAGCCGAACGAAATAGCTCAAAATAACACATGAGCTTAGAACGACATTAAGGGACTCCTCAGAACAACACAAAACATGACACTGATTGACGCAGTATGAGCAATTCAGACCAGCAGTATCACACAAAAAGCCTCAGAATGACACAAAGATGACAGAAAATGCCCCAGAACAAGACACAAAACATGAGCATCAGAGAATGACAACAAAATGTCTTAAATGTGAGACAAAAAGCCACTGTGTGCTGTGTTTTGTCTCTAGCTTTGTGTTTCATTTTAATCACATTGCGTCTACTTATGCGATGTGTTGTGATGCAGAGGAGCAGCTCTCTGAAGAAAAGCAGCCATGTTTGTAGTCCAACTGCAGCTTGAGGCAGAAAAGTCTTTCTTACTATGATGCATTACACACATATGGAAAATAATAGAATCAGCTGCAGGAAAACAGCTGTGAAAAACCTGAAACTGCCCTTTAAACATGATCGTCCAACACGCAGTTGTTGTCCTTTGAACAGAATTCAGAGGTTTCTGAAGTCCGGTGAAGCTGCTCAGCTGGAACGCTGACATCATTTATGTTGTTGTTTTACTGGAACACTCATGTTGTACCTCTACTTCCTGTGTTTGTTTATACAACAGTATGGCACCACTCCTCTGATCTGGGCCTCCAGGAAAGGACACTTTGACTGTGTGATGCACCTGCTGGAGAACGGAGCCGACGTCGACCAGGAGGGGGCGGTACGACCACACACACACACACACACACACACACACACACACACACACACACACACACACACTCACACACACTGTTACTGCAGCACATTGCTGCTGCTGTGTTCGTACCGTCTGTAGCGACATTCCAGACCTTGTGTCACTGAGAGACTGAGACTGGGTCTGTTTGTCTGATGCGCAATTCAATAATTCACTGAGATTTATGAATAATAAGTTTTGCTTTTTATTAAAGGAAATGAAGATCATTATCTCGTATACACGTAAATCAAAGCAATCAAGCAAAATAGCAAAATAACCCACTGATCTGGCTTCATAGCCGTCAGGAAACATCAGGTGGACGCTTGTTTTTGAGTGACACGAACAATCAAACAGGCTAATTCTAGTTAACAACAGAATAAATAAGATACTGCAGAGGTTGATCAAGGCTGTGGTAAACTCTCTCCTCAGAACTCGATGACGGCTCTGATCGTGGCGGTAAAAGGCGGCTACACCGAGGTGGTGAAGGAGCTGCTGAAGAGGAACCCCAACGTCAACATGACCGACAAAGACGGAAACACAGCGCTGATGATCGCCGCCAAGGAGGGATACACTGAGATCGTCCAGGACCTGCTGGACGCCGGGACGTACGTCAACATCCCAGACCGGGTGAGGCCTTCATCGCACAACGCCTCAATCGTTTTCTTAATAATAAAAACAGCAAGTGAATGTCAGTTTTTTTTTTAGTGTTTGTCCAGCTGGGGGCGCTGCTGCATGTCAAGAAGGAAAAAGGAGACACAGAGGAAACTAAAGTGTGTCCTTTGTGTTACAGAGCGGCGACACGGTGCTGATCGGAGCAGTGAGGGGGGGACACGTGGAGATCGTCAGAGCTCTGCTGCACAAATACGCCGACATCGACATCAGAGGACAGGCGAGTGTGGACAGGAGTGATCAGAGCTGGTTGTCGCTTTAACACCGAACTTACCTTCATGATGCAACATAAGATGAGACATTGTCCCTGAGGAGACGTTATCGCTGTATAGTGTGTAGTTAGATTATCCGATTATGACACAAACATGATAAAGAGGCAACCAAACATGTTCCTGTATGGCAGCCATCACCAAAGAAGGAAGGTTGATGAGGAAAACTGCTGCTTTGAAGATGAGCGGACGGAGAAATGTGTGTTCATTCATTAAAAGCAGCAGCGTGAAGCGCTTCTATGAAACAAAGCTCAGCTCTTTTGAGTTATCCCCCAAAGTCCGAGCTGAGGGCAGAATAACTGATCTGCAAGCCCAGTATCTGACTCATCACCACATTTACAGCCCAGCAACGTGCAAACCAAACCTTTGATTTATTGTCTTCTGAGGATGTTGACTGTTTTACTTTAAGTGGAGGCCTTCAGTTCTCTAGTCTGGGACCGGGATTATGACATTATTCTATGACAATAAACGGGCTGTTTTACAGGTCTCAGGTTATACAGGAAATGACTTTGATATTTTAGGATTATAAACGGGATGTTCTATAAAGCTGTCAGACATTAAGTGGGCAGCACTGTATAGAGTAGTAGAGCTCCAGGTAGATTCCAGACCCCACATGCAGCCCTTGTGAATAAACTACCATTATAGAAAATGTAATATTTCAGCCAGAGAGGATGTAATCGTATTGTCATCAGCTGTCAGAGCAGGAGAAGCACCTCTGTGTTCCTGCAGTACGTCAGCCTGTTGTTGTTGTTGACGTCTCACTCTGCCTGTTCCAGGAGAACAAGACGGCTCTGTACTGGGCCGTGGAGAAAGGAAACGCCACCATGGTGAGGGACATCCTGCAGTGTAACCCCGACACTGAGACCTGCACCAAGGTGAGACGTGAACACATCTGCTGGGTGTCGTTGTCAGCATCTGCACCGATCAGGTCACCAGTAATGAAGCAGAGAAACAAACCAGACTGTGCTGATCCAGCTCCAAGCATCCTTAACTTCAGTTTCTGAAGAAGCTCCACATTATGGTTCGATTGTTGTTTTAGAGAACATATTGTAGTCATCTGTCTTTACCTCGCTGGTAGATTTTTCTGCTTGAAATGAACAAACTTCACTAAATGTAAACCACTGAGCCCCAGGCTGCTTGAAAACCATCAGGAACAAAGTTAGCTTGAGGTTTGTTGAAGCCACTGAAAACTGCAGGTACCTGTGTGAACCAATCCGGGCCGATTGTGTGCTAAAGGAGCAGTGACACTGTTTTTGCCGCCTCAGGACGGAGAGACTCCTCTGATCAAAGCCACCAAGATGAGGAACATCGAGATCGTGGAGCTGCTGCTGGACAAAGGAGCAAAAGTGTCGGCCGTCGACAAGGTGAGAACTTCAAACACACATTCATGACCTGACTCGTCACATTCACCTACAAATGTTGCCAGCCCTTCAAAATAAAAGTAGGTTTTAAAAAGACCTGTTTGTTGACTGAATTTCAGCTAAAGTGATCGAATGGAACTGAATTAAACTGAACAAGTTGTCGTCATTAGACTAAGTGTGACTGAAACACGAAACATCTTCAAGTGACTGGAACTAAATCGACACCAGGTCCACGTAGGCAGGAATCCATCTTACTTCTGCCCTCCTCAGCTCTCACGTTGTCTTCCCAGAAAGGAGACACCCCCCTCCACATCGCCATCCGCGGTCGGAGTCGCCGTCTGGCCGAGCTCCTCCTCAGGAACCCCAAAGATGGCCGCCTGCTGTACCGACCCAACAAGGCCGGAGAGACGCCGTACAACATCGACTGCAGCCACCAGAAGAGCATCCTCACACAGATCTTCGGAGCTCGTACGTTGATCTGAAACTTTTCTTGGGCTGATTTCCTTCGTTCTACACGGCCGCAGGTGTTACTTTGAAACACAGAAACAGCCTCAGTCTCAGCTTCATCCAACAACGATGCAGCCCGACTGCAGAACCCGAACTCAAGGCGTCACTTTGTCTGGATCACCGCCTGATGTGGAGGATTTGTAAAGTGCTCAGCATGGATCAGAATATTCTTCTAATGAGCTGTAGGATAGGAAACATAAGATGTGGTTTGTCAGCACGAATAACTGGAACTAAGCTAGTTTGCTTTTTATGGTAGCTGGTGTCATCATGCAGGTTATTAACTGACTCTTAGTTTAATGATCTGACACATGAAGACACAGTCACAGCCGAGCTCACTGCATAATTTAACATCTACTAATGATGACAAAGAACAAACAACAAAACGTGAATATATGCAAAACAAAACCCAAACATTTAATGTAAGCTGAAGCAGCTTCAGAAAGTTGAAAATCCGCCCATTCTTTCTGCTTTTAAGGTTTCAGGCTTTAGTAGTGATCGAGGGGTTAATACATACCTGTTGATGTGTCTCCGCCCTGCAGGTCATCTGTCCCCCACAGAGACCGACGGAGACATGCTGGGGTACGATCTGTACAGCTCTGCACTGGCCGACATCCTGAGTGAACCCACCATGCAGCCTCCCATCTGCGTGGGTCTGTATGCTCAGTGGGGCAGCGGCAAGTCCTTCCTGCTCAAGAAGCTGGAGGGTGAGTCCACACGCACTCCCTCAGAGTACGAACGTCTCATGAACACGTGTTAACGCGCCTCCTCCTCTTCCTCAGACGAGATGAAGACGTTTGCGGGGCAGCAGATCGAGCCGTTGTTTCAGTTCTCCTGGCTCGTCGTCTTTCTGTCGCTGCTGCTCTGCGGCTCTGTCGCCATCGTCCTCGGCTTCACTGTCGACCCCAAGCTGGCCATGGCCGTCTCCCTCAGCCTGCTGGCTCTGCTTTATCTCTTCTTTGGTAAGACCTGACTTGTTCTAACTGTCCATGTTCAGACAGTCTGTTCCTGTGATGAACAGATAAAGTTGTGTTTTGTAGCGGTGGTGTATGAATAACGTTGTGTACTCTGCAGTGGTGGTGTACTTCGGCGGGCGTCGGGAGGGCGACAGCTGGACCTGGGCGTGGCTGCTCAGCACCCGTCTGGCCCGTCACATCGGGTATCTGGAGCTGCTGCTGAAGCTGATGTTCGTGAACCCGCCGGAGCTGCCTGAGCAGAGCACCAGAGCTCTGCCTGTCAGGTAACATTGCTCTGCTCGCCGGGAAAGACAAGCGCAGGGGATAAAAGCACCACCGCTGATCCGTCAGTCATAACATCCTGAGTGGATACGATGTCACGCTGATGTCTCCTGCAGGTTCCTGTTCACGGACTACAACCGTCTGTCCAGCGTCGGAGGAGAGACGTCGATGGCAGAGATGATCGCGACGCTGTCCGACGCCTGCGAGAGAGAGTTTGGTTTCCTCGCAACACGTCTGTTCAGAGTGTTTAAGACGGAGGAAACACAAGGTAACGCTGGCTGCAGGTTCTTGTGTCTTTGTGAGGACCCTCGTGGGACTCTCACCTGAGCTAACCGCTGCACCTCTTCGTCTTTAGGCAAGAGGAAGTGGAAGAAGACGTGCTGCGTGCCATCTTTCATCCTCTTCGTCTTGGTGCTGGCCTGTCTGATCACCGGCATGGCGCTGCTGGCCGTCTTCAGGGTGGACAGCGAGAACCGCACAGTGAACGCGGTGCTGATCGCCATCGGCAGCGTGGTGGGTCTGGCTCTGCTGCTGAACTGCAGGACGTGGTGGCAGGTGACCGACTCTGTGCTGAACTCGCAGAGGAAGCGGCTGCACAGCGCCGCCAACAGGATGCACAAACTGAAGAGCGAAGGCTTCATGAAGGTGAGGACGAGTTTAAAGGAGCATTCTGCTGTTTGACCTGCTGCTAGCGGGAAGTTACGACATGAGGAGAGTTTACAGCAGCTCAGCATAATGAATCCAGTGTCATGTCCTCCAGCTGCTGCAGTTATGGATGAACAATAAAAACCTGTAACCATAAAACAGTTTCAAACCCGCCTTCTAATTTTAGACTGGATGAATTTCTGCTAAGTTTTCTGTTGTTTATTGTTAAGTTTGAGGTCACAGTGCCTGGTTGACATTCTGATGGATCACTGTTATTGGTCTGGGTTGGTTCTGAGCTGTTCAGGGAAACGTGTTAAGGACTAAAGGCAGCTTGTTTAGATATCACTGCCTGTTGTTGATCTCTGTAAGTCTGGTTTCATCCTGTAGGTCCTGAAAAACGAGGTGGAGCTGATGGCGAGGATGGCGAAGACCATCGATGGCTTCACACAGCACCAGACCAGGCTGGCAGTCGTCATCGACGGACTGGACTCCTGCGAACAAGACAAAGTCCTGCAGATGCTCGACACGGTGAGGAGACACATGCACCACACTCCATTTAGACTTCATTCATTTTGTGTTTTTGCCTGTCACCTAAACCAAATGACCTGGGGTCCACAAGACCCCAAAAGCCCTGAATAGGGTTAAAGTGAATTAGGGAATCGACAGCAGGTCCCAGAACAGAAACATAAAGACAATCACTCATTCTGGTCATATATAACATATCCAGATGTATCACAGTTAGCTGGAAGAAGCTGTGAAATTGAGGTTCTTCGCCGTCTTTAAGTTTAGACTTTTTGTGAATTATTATTGAATTCCTACATGTGTAATTCAGAGTCCGGTAACACGTCCTGCTCAGACTCATGGTGTAATCGATTTATTGCCATCAAGACATTTTAATTTAGAGAACAGCTGATAAAGAGAGTTTATGTGACAGCTGCTTGTTTCTTAACATCAGTCTTCGTGATTTAACGAGACGTTTTGATCTGAAAGGACAGGCTGCAGATCAGACTGAAAGCAGCTGGTTTCATGTGAGCGGTTTTCCTGCTGCAGGTGCGGGTTTTATTCTCCAAAGGCCCCTTCATCTCCATCTTCGCCAGCGACCCCCACATCATCATCAAAGCCATCAACCAGAACCTGAACAGCGTCCTCAGAGACTCCAACATCAACGGACACGACTACATGAGGAACATCGTCCACCTGCCCGTCTTCCTCAACAGCAGAGGACTCTCCAGCGCCAGGAAGATGTGTGCCGCCGCGCCCGCCAACGGAGACGCCACCAACGCTGAAGGTAGCCGTGACGACACCTATGAGCTCCCATTCTGAGCAAAATTCTAATATGTTAGACGAGACATGCTCATCAGTGCAGTACTTCTGGGTCTGTTAGTAATTGTTATGTAATAAATAATTTAAGGCTTTATTATCCCTCCTTGCTTTCTGCAACACATTCAGCCTCTTATTTTCTGTATTTCCTATGAATACGTCATGTTTTGGTCATTCTAATGTTAAAAGACTACAGATCAAATGTCAAAGTTACATCAAATTACTTAAGGTTCAGTAGATACAAGCTGCAAACGGTGGAAGCAGAGAGACATTTACACACTGAACTGACGTAAACATTGTGTTTGTGTGACTTTCAGCAGGGTGGCACGAGGAGCTGGACAGGAAACTGTCTCAGCACAGTTTGGGAGAATTAACCAAGTTTGGCAGCAAGACGGCGCTGAACCGCCGGGTGAGACGTGTGTGTGTGTGTCTGTGTGTGTGTGTGTGTGTGTGTGTGTGTGTACAGCCATCTTTGTAGGGAACAGTTACAGTGTGAGACCTTGTGAGGATGCTTGTTTTAGATGTTTATTACTCTCATTCTGACAAGATGCTCCATAGATGGTGTATCCACACTGACACCATGATTGGCTGCTTTCGGTCATTTTGTGTCTTTGTAGTTGTTTCATTTTTCTTTGTGTTTGTTTCGTCTCTTTGTAGTTGCTTTGCTTTGTGTCTCTTTTAGCTAATTTTGTCTCTTTGTGATATTCTTTTTGTCTTTGTGGTCACTTTGAGTCTCTTTGTAGTTTTGGGTTTGTTCGTGTCTCTTTGTAGTTGCATGTCATTGTGGTTGTGTCTCTTTACACCCTTCAGATCTTGGGGCCTGTTGCCCTTTAGGTCTGTTCAGTGCCCTGATCATGTGACCTGTGTTGCCATGTTGTGTGCAGGACACGTACCGCCGTCGTCAGGTGCAGCGCTCGGTGACTCGTCAGATGTCATTCGACCTGACCAAGCTGATGGTGACGGAGGACTGGTTCAGCGACATCAGCCCTCAGACCATGAGGAGGCTGCTCAACATCGTCTCTGTCACAGGTGACCCAAGTCGTCAGCACCAGAACCGGGTCACACCTGGATCTGTGTTTGTAGCTGCCAGTAAACCTGCTGTTCCCTGCGTCCAGGTCGTCTGCTGCGAGCCAATCAGATCAGCTTTAACTGGGACCGCCTGGCGTCGTGGATCAACCTGACGGAGCAGTGGCCCTACAGGACGTCCTGGCTCATCTTGTACCTGGAAGAGACCGACGGAGTCCCGGACCAGGCCACACTCAAGACCATCTACGAGAGGTCAGAGGTCATACCCACCTTATACTGTTGTAGCGTGATTCTGGACCAGTAAAGCAGCAGCTGCTCAGTGTGTTCTGTCTCTCAGAGTGTCGAAGAACATCCCGACCACCAAAGACGTGGAGCCGCTGCTGGAGATCGACGGAGACGTTCGCAGCTTCGAGGTGTTTTTATCGTCACGAACGCCCGTCCTGACGGCCAGAGACATCCGCACCTTCCTGCCCTGCACCGTCAACCTGGACCCCAAACTCAGAGAGATCATTGCAGGTAGTACTGATACTACTGCTTTACATAATACAACTACCACTACTACAAATTAGCATTGGCGATACTGTGAGTAATACTACACCTGATACAGCTACAGACTTACAGCCTGCAGGCACCGTAGTTGTGGTTGTAGTACTATGATAAGTACGACTCACTCTACTTAACATTACTACTACCACAGTACACACAGAGCAGACAGTACTGCAGTACTACTTTCAAAACCTTACTTTCTTTATTCTCTCTCCGTCCATCTGATCCAGATGTTGTCGTTCTCTTTGTCTGATCAGCTGTTCTCCCTCTAAGTCTGATGCTCTCTCTCTCTCTCCCTCTGTCTGATACAGGTGTTCTCCATCTGTTTGTCTCATCCAGATGTTCTCATTCTTTTTGTCTGCTCCAGATGGTCTACCTCTCTCTCTCTCTCTGTTAGACCCAGATGTTCTGTCTCTGTCTCTTTCTGTTGGAGACCCTGATACTCTCTCTGTCTGTTCCAGATGGTCTCATTCTTTCTAACTGATCCAGATGTTCTCTCTCTTTCTGATCCAGACGTTCGTGCAGCCCGTGAACAGATGAATATGGGCGGAGTCACATACCCAGCCCTCCCCCTGCAGGAGGCTCAGCCCCGCCCCACCTCGGTCTACAGTCAGGTGTCGTCCACCTGCTCGCCCTCCGCCTCCTTCAGTGGACCCTTCAACCAGCCAGCGGGTGGCGTCGTCTCCCCGCAGCCTCACAGCAGCTACTACAGCGGCATGGCGGGCCCCCAGCACCCGTTCTACAACAGGGTGAGTACAGGCTCCGCCCACTGACCTCACCTGATGATGTCACTGACGTTCCCAGCGGGAGGTTCAGGTCTCAGGTGTTAGTGGTGAGTCAGCGGTCTCCGGAGCAGCAGGCGATGCGCTGATGTCATCATGTCATGTGGTGGCTGTTTCCTGGTTCGGTCCCATTCATCTTCTGTGTTTGAGTCGTTCTGTTTGGACTTGATTTTGTTGTTCCTGTGTTTTATGGTGAGTCTCTGCTGTCGCACAGTCAGCTGACCGGCAGCTGTTAGCAAAAACTAACGTGTAAATGCGTCAGCTGGGTATTTAAAGGGATAATGCAGCATCTTTGCTCCTCGTTATGTCCAACGATGTGTCTAAACAGCTGTCAGGTGTCTGTATTTAGAGACACGAAGACCTTTGAGACATGTTGAAGCACCTGCAGTAAAGTCTCTCTGTGCTTCACTAACATGTGGCAGCAGTGACTCACTTTTTTATTTTTTATTTTATTTTATTTTTTATGTTCAGTCACTTCCATGATCATTATTTTGATTTTCTCCCTCCCCCCCTCCCTCAGCCATATTTCTCCCACCACCTTTACCAGCTGCCACGCCCGCTCGTGGCCTCCTTCCCACCACATCTCCATCCACGCCCGCCCGCTAAAAGTTCCTACAGCAGGGACGCCGCCGGCGCACTTGTAAGTACGAAAACAGCTGGAACGTGAATCCAGTGAGGACCAATCAGATCATAACAACTGTGTGTCTGAGAAACAGCAGAAATCATATTAATCTGGTCACTTTTTCCACACAGGACTAGTTTTAATAATATGAAATGTGTCTGTACAGGAGACACATATTTAACCCTAAAGAACGTCCTGTACACTCAGCGAGCACTTCATTAGCAGCTCTGGATCAGGCCTCCCTTTGCTCTCAGGAAAGTTTCCTCTGAGGTTCTGCTTCATGTTCACGTGATTCATCAAAAACGAAAAACAGCGAAAACTGATCAAATGTGCAGGAGAAAGGATTTCGTTACATACACAAAAAAACAACAATCAGCCACAGAAGAACTAAATTAAGACAGAAATGTGAGAAACCTGAATGAGGTCTGGTGCTGTAGAAGCCTGTGCAGACGACGGGAATTTCTTTTTCTCCTTTTCAAAATGGGGTCATGAAATTAAATCTTAAACATTCAGGAATATTTTGTTTCCCACAAAACTCTTATCAGTTGCTGCTGTAAGAAAACGGAGGCTGATTGGAGTAATCAGGAGACGTGCTCGCTGAGTGTGCTCACGGCTACATTATAAACCTGTTATTACCTGTTAGAAACACACGTTAATTACATGTTTCATTTCATACATTTAATGTTTTTTCCACTTGTTTGCTTTTAATGAATTAAAATCCATCTGCACAATAACAACAAATGAAAAAAAATGACCCCCCTCATCATGATTCTCTCAAATCATTGAGATTATTTCAGTAAAATGTCAAAAACTGTGAAAAATGTCTTTGGTTTTTAAGTTTCATTGTGTCTGCCCAAAGAAAGTGTCTCAACTTCAGTTTAAAACTTTTACACATTTGGTCGATTTCAGTTAAATATTTCAGTTTAAAGTCAAACTTTAAGCTCCAGGAACAAACTGGGCTCAAGTTTTCATTTATTCTTTCTTTCAAGGTAACGATTTAGTTCATTTGTGAAGCTCATCTTCAGAATCGCAGCTTTCGGTTTCTGTTTTTCTTCTTCTGCTGTTGTGCACTTCCTCCACTCAGCTCCGTCTCTTCTTCTGTGGTGGCTGGGCCTGTAGCCTGCAAACAAATCAAACACTGAAGAGATCTGAGTTTCTTCTTCTTCTGGTGTCCTGAAACTGAGAACAGCTGCCGATGTCTGGCAGCGATCATTTCCGCTTTGTGTCCTGTCGGTCATCTGTGTTCTCCTGATGTTTTCATCCCTCGTCTGTCTGTCTGTCTGTCTGTCTGTCTGCAGTATAAGAATTCATCTTTGAAAAGGAAGCAGGTATTGAACTTTCCTAACACGACTCTTCTTCCGTCCTCGAACCCACCTCCCTTCCTTTCTACCTTCCTTCCTTCCTTCCTTCCTTCCTTTCACACCAACCTGAAATGTCCACAGCAAACGTCTGCATCGTATTTCGGCTTCGTCGTATATTTTTATCGTCGCGGGTCCGTCGGCTGTGTTCTGTTATTTCTGTCTGATGTAGCACTGCCCTACATAAAACCATTTCAGCAATATAAAGGACGACAAGCTAAATGTGTTGACTGTCTTCAGTGAGCTCAATATCTGTGATTTTATAGTTTATTTCTTTAACCGAGCATGTATTGCCGTTCTTTTTGTTTTGACGTGTTCTGTTAGCAAACGCAGCGACCAGAAGACATCCTTAGTGTGGCTGAAGTGACTTTAACCAGATTCACCCTTTAGTTTCTGTTTTCAAATGTTTCTAACTCGTGTCAAACGTGATCATCATACGTTGTTAACAGGCTGCACGAAAGGCGTTCAGTAGAGCTATAATGGTTTGTATCCTGAACACTTCATGCAGGACGTTCGATTCAGCTCTTCCTAAAGCCTGAACCCGACACTTCTCTGCTCACAGCGTGTTGTTCGCGCATTGTTTAACCAAATGTACCCCTTTTCCACCAAACCGGTTCCAGTGCTAGTTCAGAGCCTGACTTTGCACCAGTTCTTTGTATTTCCATCACCTAAACACCGGCTCCAGGTTCTCAAAACTGGTGCTTAGCAAACACCAACTCTTTGCTGGGCCAGAGCTAAGAACTGAGTACATCAGGGGCTGGGGGCGGGTTAGTGTGACCAACGAGACCAATGAATGAACGGGACACATAGATGGTGATCTGTGTCGTTTTTCACCAGGATGTCTCTGGTCGGATCACAGATGTGTTGGAATGAGTCCCTGGACACATGGAAGTTTTGCACAAACTATTGCGCCCTGAAATCTGGTACAACTGTGTCCCACCAGCAGCACCACAGTGGTGGAAAACAGAACTTTTATAACTTTGGTGTACTGCGATATTTACGCTTAGGAATGTGGTCTTCTTGTGAAAAACGGAGTCTACCTACATGTGCTGGTTATTCCGCTCATAGAAAAGACCGCATGAGAAAAAAATCTCTCGGTTTCATCTTGGACAAATCTGACGTTAGAACGCCTTGTTTACTATTTAAATTCATTTTTGGTCCCACACCAGTCTGAGCACCACAATCCCCAGCAGCTGTTACCAGCAGCCTGCAATGTGGGGCGTTCAGGGAACATCGTAAATTGCAGAGTCTATCAATAAGAAAATGTTCAGCAAGTCATGTGTTTTGCCTGTGACAAGGTGGGAAGTGCGATCAAATGAGAAAGTTGGTCACACCAGTAAATAGGTTAGTCTGGAGTCCTGTGTGGACTTCCGTGTGGTGTGAGCGTTGTTCAGTAAACGCCTACGTATGAGTGACGTATGGCGCGGCTCTAACTCGGCTCCTGGCTGATGGAAAAACAACCAGTTCTTAGACTGGAACCAGCTAAGCACTGGGCCCAGCACCTGGTTCTTCTTGGTGGAAAACGGGTCATATACGTCTGAAAGAGCTGCAGCCGTGTTTCAACCTGCTATGAACGGCGACGGAGACACGAGATCAGACGGATTCTGTGGACATGAGGGTTCCCACTACTACAACTCCCAGCATGCAGCTTGCCTGGAACAGCCTGTAGCTTTAGCGGAGTAGCTGTTTGATCTGCTGTTCTTCCGACCTGTGACCCTTCACTAAAACCTCACTGCTCACGCCCCAAACGCCCGCTCACCTCCACCTCTGCACTGTAAACGCCACCCCTGCTCTTTATTTTGCAGTAAAAATGATGAAATGTAATGTGATCCCTCCACTATGTGAATATAAACCGTTTTTATTTAGTTAAGAACCAAATAAAACCCTCTGAAAATCAATATGAATCACAAATCTGTGTAGAAAAAAAGCTTTTCATAGTTCTGTGTGCAGCTTAACATTTGTCACAATCAACACTTGAGATTTTCATGAAGCCAGTAAAGAAAAGAAAACAGAATAAATAGCTCAGTTTCAAACACTAACGATGAGCTGGGAAGAGTTTGGACGCTGTTAACAGCTAGTCGTAGGTTTTAGATCCACCGTGTAGACTAGAGCCTCATCACTAGTCGTAGCAGCGCTCGCTCCGTCCTGAGAGTTCAGCCTGACTTCTGAGTTTCCGTCCAGCTCACGTGTCAGAAGCTACACTTTTTAATGCACCTTTTCACTGCAGGAACTCTGGGAGGCACAAGATGGCTCCAATGTTCATAGAAACAAGCCACTGATTGGCCCTTTCATCCTTTTTTCTCCTTTGTAGAAATAGAAATTACTGGATGTAACTCCGGTTCCACGAAATAGAACAAAGAAGTTTTGTTATGTTCACCTGTATGGTGACTTTAAGAAAGCGTTGATAGTAGAGACTGCTACACAAGGACATCAAGAGGGCAGAAAAATGTTACCTGTTGTCTTCTCTGGGTTTCAGCCTTTAGCCCTGAACAGGAGTTTTTCAGGGCTGTTTTGAAAATGCCCCAAAAATGGCTCTGAAAAGGTTCTCCAGGGTTCCAGTGCTCTGAATGCCCACAAGTTCCTGCAGTGGAAAATAGCTGATTCAAACTTAAAGGATGTTCAAAAAAATGCTGTTTTCCTGTAAATCAAACCCATCTGTCTTTGTGTTCAGGGCTCGGCCTCTGTCGTGTCAGGCACTCCCCCCATCCTCCTCAGCTCCATGACAACGGAGGCCGTCTGTGAGCGCGTGCGGCAAATCGAAGGCATCGACCAGAACATAATGGGACAGTACACCGCCACCATCAGGAAGGTCAGTGGAACGACTTCACACACCATCACACCGGACCTCTGTGTGCTTGTAGACTGGAGGTTTGACAGTTCATTCATTTCCACCATCTGGTTTTCAGGCAAACGTCAACGGCAGAGTTTTGTCTCAGTGTAACATTGATGAGCTGAAGAAGGAGATGAACATGAACTTTGGAGACTGGCAACTCTTCAGAGCCACGGTCAGTGAGAGGATTTACACACCAGGACTAAACATGTTGGCATGGTACCAGAACAAGTGTTGAGCAGTTAGTTAAGAACAATAAAATGTCGTTTGCATAATGATGCCGTTACAGTTTCACGGTTTAATTCATCAAAGTTTACACATATGATATGTGAAAACCGAATACAACAGTGGTGCCGAACCCATAGTTTATAAATGTCAGTGATTATTTGGCATTCTTATAGTTTAATGCTTCATCATTTAATGACTTACATTTAAATGGACTTTTGTTCTGTTGAATGTTTAAATGAGAGCTGAACGTATGAGACAGACGTTACAAACTGTTTAATTCAGCTTCGTCTCCTCTCGGCTGCAGATTCTGGACATGCGTCACATAGAGAGCCAGGTGCTGCACGAGGAAGCTGCCAGTGAGCAAGGCAGCGTTGTTGGCGGTCACACCGAGGCAGGAAGGCGAGCGGCGGCTCCGCCCCACGCCGGCGCCGCCAACACTGATGCATCGCCGATGTACAGTTTCAACCTGAGTTTCGAGGAGCTGAGCAATGTGGGGATAGACGAGGCGCCGCGACACGGAAACATGCAGTGGATGGTGAGTGGAGCAGGATACAGCTCTGAGCTCACTGCCCCGGGCTCTGGACAAGAAACTGATATTTATATTTCTCATTTAAAAACACGACCTGAAGCTACCGTCACCGTCTGTCTCACACGTTTGTCCTGTTTATAAATCTGTAAGTAAAGAAAGTACTGCTTTTGTTTCCCTGTTCTTTAACCCTCGGTCCACAGGGCGGCCCTCACCGAACCGCCAGCATGACCAGCCTCAACTCTCAGGAGTCCTCAAACGACATCTCCAAGCTGACAGACAAGCAGCAGGCGGAGTACCGAGACGCCTACCAGGAGTACATTGCTCAGATGGCCCAGCTGGAGATGGGCGGCGGCAGCAGCGGGGAGAAGCCCGTCCAGCCTCATCCAGGTCAGTTCATGACATCATCGTCTGACGACAAGAACAAGGACAGCACAGAGCCCGACGGACGCAAATTCTTCAACAAGAGGAGCGGCAGCAAGCCGGCGGCAGACAACACCGAGTTCGCCTCCAACGGTGACGCACTGGACCCCATCACGGAGGAGGACGAGAAGGCAGACCACGGATCCTCCAAGTCCATGCTGACCCGCAAGACCTCGGCTGAAAGAGTCGGGCTGTTCCAGGGCGCCGCTGACCTGAAGCTGAAGGCTGGTGGAGGGCTGCGCTACCAGAAGCTGACCAGTGACGACGAGGAGTCCGAGGAGTCGGATCACGCCCCCCTGCTGAAAGACGGCAAGAAGGCGGTCGACCCCAAACTGCCTGGTGGCTCACTGGCGCTGAAGGGGAAGGACTACCTGTCAGACGCCATGCTGGACAAGAAGGATTCGTCAGACTCGGGCGTGCGGTCCAACGAGAGCTCGCCCAACCACTCGCTGCAGGACGAGGAGGCGGACCTGTCGCAGCTGGAGAGGGCCAACCTGATCGAGCTGGACGAGGAGAGCCTGGCCAGGAAGCGCGGCCTTCCCAGCAGCCTCAGCGGCCTCCAGGACCCGGCCGTGGCTCGGATGTCCATCTGCTCCGAGGACCAGTGCAGCCTGCTGGCCAGCAGCCCCGAGGAGAGCTGGACCTCGTCAAAGAGCTACAACCTGAACCGCACACCGAGCAACGTCACCCTCAACAACAACACCAACGCCCAGCAGGGCAACCGCCCCCGCCAGCCCGCAGAGGGCTCCACCTCCTCCTCCAACCCCACCTCCTCCTCTTCCACCAGTGACGTCATCCTCTCACCGAGCTCCGGGACCACCGGTACCACCACTACCAGGCCGGGGCCGAACAACGAGAACGTCCGAGTGGTTCACCTGAAGAGGGGCCTGAAACCTGGAGACCCGCCAGAGATCTGCACCGTGTCCTCCGACACCGTTACCTTCGGCGAGGAGCGCGAGAGCATCCTGTGAGCTCACAGCGAAGATAAAGAGAGCACTGAGGGTCCACCAAGAGCTGCCCTCCAACCTCCCGAAGCAATGAGAAATGAAAATAAGTCGTAAGAAGGTCAGTCTAGAGATGTAAACAATTAACAGGTCAAAGTTCTAAAAAGTCCTGAAAACGAACAAAGGAGAAAACACTGATTGGCATCGAGTTGATCAAACATCAGGTTTGAAAGCTGTTTGGCTAAAATTGACATAATTTAGACTTTAAACCACTAAAACTGTTTCACTGACATTTTAAATATCTTGTAGGAGGTGAGGAGCGGCTGCTGGTGGACTCGTAGTTTTCGTGTTTTGTGATCGTCAGTGTTAACGCATGCTCACGGCTGTAGACAGTAGATGAACCTGAAGCTTCGTAGCGACGTAGACACTAAAGTAAAGCTGCTGCATGTCGGTGTTGTGATGCTGTGATGTGATGTGTCGCCTCCAGGAACCAACACTTCATCGTTATTTGTTTAGTAGACGTAACTGTCACAACTGGAACTTTGACACTTGTTGAACAGGGTCCAAAAATCAGCTCGAAACTTGACAAACAGGCCATCAGGAGGGTTTACAGTGTTCAGGGACGTGAATCAGGGTCCAAACATCTGAGACGAGGTTGAGCTGAAGTTATCAGCTGGTTGAACCTGTTCCTGTAGATATGTATGTACGGCTGTCTGAAGAGAGAGCTCAGCCACAGTCTGTCTCTGGAAGCTACAAGTCTACAATTTCATTGAGCTTTTATCCAAAGCGACGTCCATCTGAGAGCAGATACAACACAAGCAAGGATCTAGTCAGGAGAAAACAGTCTGGATAAGTGCCATAGAACAAGTTCAAGTGTGATAGTTGATGCCAATAGCAGGCTGTAGGGAGGTCGTAGGATTTATTTTATTTTTTTTTTTCCTCGGGCTGTCAAGTGCAAATGTGTTCAGTGAAGAGTTGGTCTTTAGTCTTTTCTTAAAGACTGAGAGGGAGTCAGCAGATGGAACAGAGTTTGGTGACCACAGAGAAGGATAGTCCGGCGATCGACTTCGGGCCTGTTGTGGAGAAGTTGCAGACCAGTAGAACATGAGAGCATGGAAAGCTTCTGTAGTCTATTCAGTTCCGTCTGATACGGGGCAGATCGTGGGGAACAAAGAGTCCAGTTAGAACATTCTGACTTCAGATTTTCAGGTGATTTTTAGCGCGAACCAAGAGGACACGCATCCAACTGCACATCGGTCACTGGAGTCCAGTCACACTCACTGTCACCATGTGAATATGGAGCAGTGGCAGCTAAACACAGTATTATTAGTATTAGATCTGTTTACGTGCCACTAAGCAGACGTCCTTTGTTCTGCTTTTTAACAAGTGCTGACAGTGATAAAGTAACACATTCAACATTGACTTTCAACTGTGGAAACAGAAGCCGCTGTTCGGGTGAAATGTGTAAACCAGTAAAACCAGTAAAACCAGTTTGTCGTTTTTATCTCAACACTAGTTGAACGACGCTAACAGGTCAGCTAACTTTAAACTCCTGGATGTAATGTGAAAAATAGACTTTATGATTAACTTTGAGTAACACTAGAAAGACGATGTTTTCACAGACGGAGGCGTCGGATTGAGCTGAAGCTCGTCGATCGAATCTTTCAGTGCGTCAGTATTGATTCTGTGTCCGTTTACAGTGTCGGTGGTTGTTTCTAGGTGTTCGTTTGGTGTCGAGTGAAATGAACAATCGGTGGTTGTGTCTCAGCGTCGTGTGTGGTGACGTGTTGTGGTCGACTCCATCAGAAAATCAAACGATCGATCAAGAGTTTGAGTCATTTTCCAGCAAATATTAGATTTTTCTGCTTCTCATATCTGAGAATTTGCTTCTTTTCTTCGTCCTGAGAGAAAAAAAAGGATAATTTTTCTTAGGTTTTGAACTTTCAGCCAAACAAAACAAAAAGTTTTTTACATTTTTATTGTGGTTGAAGGAGACGTGGTGGACTCAGCCAACAGAATTTTAAAAACAGGTTTCCCTCATTTAGCTAGATTCTGATCAAATTAAAGCAGGAAACTTATTTATCAAAAATAAAATGTTTCAGCTCCGCAGATTGTCTTCAAGTTTCAAAATAAAGTCAAACATTTAAATTAAAGCTTGAACAAGCTACAGAACCATTTTTTCTTCAAAATAAAAGCCTCATATATATGTATTAATTAGTGACGTATTTATGTATTTTTAAAGACGTATTTAGTTGATGCTGGATGTTTGTGTTGAATCTCATCTCAGTGCTCTCCAAAAGGTTCAACGTCTGACTCGTCTGAAGATGGATTTAAGGGAATCTGTTGTTGTGCTCTAAAGAATTAATAAACTCTGGATGTTAAATGTTAAACCTGCTGTCTGACGTTTTTCTTCTTTATTTTAATTCATCACTTTCATTTTACTGATTTGGTTTATAGTTACGATGGTTAAGACGGAGGTCAGAAAAAATAAATAAGAATAATGGTTTTGCTGTTTTATTTTCATTTATTCATATAAATAAATAAATTCAAACATTTTGTAGATTTTTAAAGCAGCAACATTTATGACTTTTACTTTGACATGTGATGACTCTTATTTTGAAAATCACACATACAGCTGTGCTCTCAAGACAAACTTAAACTCTTGGATCTTGTTTTATTTCAAGTCTTAAAGTTCAAACTGATTCAATACACATGATTTTACAAACCAGACTTAGTTTAAAAAGCTCAGATTTTTAGCTGCCACTTTGTCCACAGCTGATGGAGCTTCAGAGGACTTCAAACACGACTGTCTGACTGTCAGAGCGCCCCAAAGCTTTGAAGGTGAAAGAACAACCTCTGTGGATATTCTCTGAGCTCTAAAGACTTAAAATCCGCTGGTTTAAATATAGTTTTATGCAAAAGTTTGTGCAAATGCTACATTTGCTGATTCTGAGGTGAAAGGAAGAACGCACCAGACTCCATTCAAAAATCTCCAGTTTTAATGCTTTCATCAAGGTACAGCCACACTGTCAGTGGTTTAACACTGGTACATTCAATACACCAAAGTCCAGCCAGAAACCTGCAGATTTTACCTCTACCTTATCCTTGGCACAAATCTCCAGTCAGAAATAAAGCGTTCATAATTTTATACCAAATGCACACTGTGGGTCAGATTTCACTCCCTCACTCTGCTTCCACCAAACTCCAGCTGGATTTTTGATCATTTTAGGATTCGTCATTCTTTACACCAAACTCCAGTCAGAAAGCTGCAGGTTTTACACACAGCTGTGGTATTAATAAGTCGTGGTGAACGCTGATCTTCAGACACTAATAGAAAGTGGGAGGGCGGCCGTGAGGAGACACTGAGGCGTCAGTGTCAGGGTGTGTTTGATTCTCTCACCATGTCAGCATCATCCAGCTCTCCTCCACATCAGGACGTTCTTTGGGGGGAAATCGCCGGACTGCAGAGACACAAAGACGTCAGAACCTCCTGCGATGGTGCAGCTACATGAACAAAAGCATCTTCATCACTTTATTTTAGTTTGATTCTCTGCATGAAGCCCAAAAACTTTAACCCACTGTGACACCAAACCAGTGACCTCACAGGAGATGGAACACAACTGTTTGGATGCTTTTGAGTAGTTTAAGGGTTTCTTTAAAGACAAAGCATTTAAAGTGAAATTAAGTGATTTTAAGGGGGTTATATGATTAAACTGTTAAACTGATTGAACAGACAAACGGCCTTAAATTGACCAACAACCATAAAAACTGTTCTTAAAGTTTTACCTTCATTAGAAAATGTAAAATTAAGAGAAAAGTTAAATTTCTGCATCGAAGAGTTTTGTCTTAAAAGAAACCTTTTAACCGTTGTGAAACATCTTAATTTAGCCATTAATAGCAAAATTAGACGATTTTAATGGGTTAATTAGCAGCTTTCTTGATTAGTTTTATTGTTTTTAACAGGCAAATATTATATATATATACCTTCAATTGACCAGAAATAATGAATCTGCCTCACTTAAAGTAAAGCATCATGTTAGTTCCAACATTTCAAATGAGGGTAAATATTAAGAGACAAAAAAATCAGTTGAAGGATTTAGATTTTAAAAGAAAACCTGAAACCAAATCAATTAGTTCAGTAATTAAAGGATCCTTTTCATGGTTTTAGTTACTTTTCGTCTTTAAAAATCCTTAAATCATGTTTAAAAATCCTTTAAAAGCACATTCATTAGTGTTTGAAATATTGAACTCATACCATCTTTAGTCACTGAAGCCCAACTTAATCCATTTTCATGCATTTTTATCTGATCAACAATCAGAAACTGAAACACGTTGAATTTATACTTAAAAAAACAAAAACCTGAGAAATGTTCACATCTGAAGGTTTCTGACGTGTATGTTTAAAACCACATGTCTGTCATGTGAGCTGCTGGAGTGAGAGCTGATCAGCCACCGATACCTGATCGATAGCGGCCTGGATCTGGTCTCCTACCTGCTGTCAGCGGGGCTCTGTGGCCGCTGCTGGAGCTGCTGCTGCCGGTCACAGAGGTGCGGATCCTCCCGCTGTCCGGCCGGGCAGGAGGCGTCCAGCTCGGACTGCAGCTCCAGCATGTAGTCGATGACATGCTGCAGGATCTCCACCTTGCTGGCGGCCATGCCGGGCATCAGTGCGGGCACCAGCCGCCCCAGCAGCCGGTAGCAGAGCTCCATGTCCCGCAGCAGGAGCACCGGGACCGGCGGCAGGAAGCAGCTCCTTGTGCCGCTGCTCCTCCTCCTGCTGCCCGCGGGACGCACCGGCAGCGCGGCTCTCATGTCTGCTGCTGGTCGATGATCTGGAGCTTCACATGAGGAACACCTCCACCGGCTGAAACCCTGAACCGAGAGACACCGGAGCTGCTGAAGTCACGGGACATGATGCTGCTGCAGCAGGAGACCCGGCTGAAGGAGGAGGCTCCCTGAGGCGCTCGGAGCCACTCATTGGCTCCGAGTGGACGTCAGTCATCTTTAAAGCGATCTGATTGGCTCCTGAAGAACCAGCGGTGAGTCCAGCAGCTCACCTCATACCTGTCTGCTGCAGGTAACACACACACACACACACACACACACACACAGACACACCTTTTTGGATGGATGCACATTAAATTGACATTTTCTAATTACTACTTTTTGCTCTAATTCGTCAGTTAATCTAAATGTAGTTTTCTGTAATTGAAGAATTAATCATTTCATCGATGTGCTTAAACATTTAGTTTAGTCCAACCAACATTCTAAATACCTCAAATTATTTCGTTTATGACTCAGAAAAGTGTGAAACTCCTTCTGAGGGGCAAACATTTTGTGTTGTTTGTTGTTTTTGCTTCAATACCTGAAACAATTCATTGAAAAGTAAAAATATCGGCTGGTGATGTTTCTATCAATCAATAAGTGACTTTGTGTTGCAAACAAACAAGCTTCATGTGATTCCTGGTAACGTGCAGCGGTTCAGTGAAACACAGTGAACAGCCTGCAGACGACAACAGCTGGCTGCAGATGTGTCGTCTGTTGTGAAAGCGTCCATGTGAGTCCTAACAGTAGCACGTCTCTGTGGGCTGCTGTATTTGAATGTGAGCCTGACCGCCGGCTGTGTTTTGCATGTTCTAGCGGCACACTGGTGGATCAGAGCCGCAGGACTGAGCTGATCATGTGCAGCGATAAGATGCAAAACACTTCTATAAAACTGAACAGACGTCAGAGTCACTTGGCCTGAGGACACACAGCAGACTGAAGTCAGGGAAGACTCAGAGGACAACAGCAGACTCTGATCCATCAGCATCAGGATCAAACTCTTCATGTGCGTCTCAATGGTGCAAATAA